TGTCTGTCTGTCCGGTTGACCGTCTGTCCGTCCGTCTGTCCGCCTGGCTGTCTGTCCGTCTGTCTTTCTGTCCGTCTGGCTGGCTGGCTGTCTGTCGGTCTGTCTGTCTGGCTATCTGTCTGGCCGTCTGTCTGTCCGTCGTTCGTTTGTGTCTCACATCATGAGGATCATCGATCGTTGGCCCCCCCAGGTCTCGAGTAGGGGATCGAGGACAGAGTTGACACTGATGCATCTCAAACTTGATTCGCCGTCGAATCTGCGAAGAATGCGCGGCATGCTCCGTAGATCCACGGAACATTCTTGTGCATTTTCCGCAGATTCGACGGAACGCTCTAGTTTGTCGGGGGCGGAAAGAACCCCCACCCTGACACGTCGATGAGTGAATTGTCCGTTTTCGGTTCTCGAGAGGGCGCCGCGGCCGTCATTTTCCAGGCTTGCGCCCGCCAGGTTTGGGCCCGAGGTATTTTTTCACTACACCACGTTTTACTAAAAGGGGGTTCTGTTCATCTCCGATTTGGGGGTACAGTGGGGGACCCATGCCAAGAGACACCCTGCTTGCCTCCAGGGTGCCCTGGGTTTCTTCGGTCTCGATGCTTTTGCGATTGACATCGTGACGTTCCCACACCAAAAAGCGGGAACTAGACGTCCTGGGGTCTCAGGGTTGGGTTTCTTGTGCAAGGTTTCTTGTGGTCGGGCCCCTACTGTCCGACGAAGGCATCTACACACCGCCACCGTGCCAGTCCAGGGCCATCCTGGGCCCCAGGATGGTGTATAGACCCTCCTGGCTTCGGCCAGGAAGGCGTATACACCATGCCAGCGCCAGGATGGCCCTGGCCTGGCACGGTGGTGGTGTATAGATGCCTTCTGCGTATACTGTAAATCAACTCTGTAGGCGACCCCCCACCCGAAGGTCTTCTTCCCGGGCTTCCTGCTGGAGCACCTGGGGGCCGCCTCGTCCGGCTGCGTGCGCGACGCGGCGCCCCTGCTCCCGGCCGGGGGGGCGCCGCCGTACCCGGTGCTGGTGTACTCGCACGGCCAGGGCGGCAACATGGACATGGGCACGTACTTCCTGCGCGAGGTCTCGGCACTCTTTGCCGAGCCTTAGCCCATCCTCCTCCTCCTCCTCCTCCTCCTCCGTCTCCTCCTCCTCCTCCTCCTCCTCCTCCTCCTCCTCCTCCTCCTCCTCCTCCTCCTCCTCCTCGATCTCATCCTGAAACAGGGCCCTAGCGCTACCCTGCGGGAGCCCGAGTTGCGCAGTTGCGCAGACAGTCCTCCTCCTCCTCCTCCTCCCCGTCCTCCTCCCTCCGTAGCCATTTTGGCTCCAGATGCACGTTTCCCCAGGGAGACAAAGGGATACCGCTAGTCCGCGGCAGTGCCAGAGCGCTTTCGCTCGACGTTCCCTTCTGCCAGCACCGCACGGGTTCTCTGGCGACCCTCGTTCAAGGGCGGCGGACACAGACGCGACCATCTCCTCTCCTTCGGAGCCATGTCTGGAGCAGGGAGCCCCGAGCAGCATCGCATGGACTCGGAGGGCTCCCCCAGCTGCAGTGGCCGCTCGTCGTCCTGGACTCGTTCATCCAAGTCCCACTCGAGGGCGCCCGAGCTCCGTCGCAAGGCTCCTCCAGCGGATCGTGGACGGCTGGTTCGCCCTGGTGCTGCAGCTGGCCCTGCTGGCCACGCTGGTCCTGCTGGCCGTCGGGGCAAGGGCGAAGGGAAACCCTCCAACTTCTCGCCCAGCGAGGAGCAGAGGCGCCAGCGGGCAGCGGACGCGGCCTTCGAGATGCAGAAAGAGACGGGCTCGACCTTGATATGCTGGCTACGTTCCCATCGCAGGACGCTCGTGGTGCAGGAGTCGGAGAGGTTCCTCAGGGAGCAGAGGCTGCCGCTGCCGCCAGGGACGCCGCGCACCCAGCTGCTGGCGTCGGAGGTGACCCGTGGAGGACCTACCTGGACAACGGCGGGGCCCCCCTGGGCACCGCGACGCCACTGGGGCCCAGCCGTGGCCATCCTCCCGCTCACGCTGTTCCTCATCGTGACCATCCGCATGGCGCGGCTCCTGGGACCCCTGCTGCGGCGACGGCGCCTGGTGGTGCTGGCGGCGCTGCGGATGCTGTCATGCCCAACTCCGCCCAGTCCACCCTCCTGCAGCAAGTGCAGGCCTCCATCACCTCCGCCGTCACGAACGCGGTCGTCGCCAGCGTTGACGCCACCCTCACGGCGGGCCTGGCGCAGATTCAGGGCGTCATGGAATCGCGTGTCGGCGCCGTGGAAGGACGCCTTCGGGTGGTTGAGCAGAAGCAGCTGGACATCGAGCGACAGCTGCGTGCGGACATCGCGCAGCTCCGCGAGCAGATGGGCATCATGGCGCGCGCGGGGCCCTGTGCTGCTCTCGCCGGTCCTGACTGGGATCGTCCTCCAGACCTTGCCGCGGTGGTCGTAAGGTGCAAGGAGGAGCTCCCTGCTGCGGCCTTCAAGCAGGCCATCGACCTCATCCTGGCGGACGCTGGAATGGGCCCAGATGCGTTCGTGGTGGAAGCGGAGCCCATCGGCAAGCGCTGCGTCTACCGCTTCAAGGGGCCCTTCGAGCTCGGAGCCAGACGGGCTGCTAAGGTGCTGGGCTGCATGCGCCTTGGCCGTGGTGAGTGGCGCAAGCCGCGTGCCACGACGCCTGCTGGTCACGAGGTGGACATCTTCGCGGCGGCCGACCAGAGCCGCAAGCAGGTGCTGCACGAGCTCGCGCTCAAGAAGCTCGCCGTCGCGCTGGGGCGCGTCATCGGCGACGGGCACCGCATCTTTGTGGACAAGCAGAAGTTCACCCTCACGTCCCAGTGGAAGGCCTTCCTCCGCATCACCATCGACGGCCCCAACCCCACACCGGTGGTGGTCTGGCCCCCGTCGGCGCTATCGGCACTCCGCTTGCGACGTGAGGGTCTTGAGACGACGGTGGAGGCGGCTTTGGCTCCTGGTGATGATGATTGGTGCCTTTAGCACGTTCGTCAAGCTCTTTGCCGCCCCGATGAGCAAGGGGCTCACCTTCGCCACCTGGAATGCCAGAGCATTCTGCTACTACAAGGCGGACGTGGCGGCACGCAAGAGCGAATACCTTGGGAATGCGCTCCGAGCTGGGGCTATCGTGGGTATGCAGGAGGTCCACGGGTCGGCCGTGCGCCTGCGTATGCTGATAGATCGCGTGGGGACGGACTACCAGATGTTCTACTCCTTCGGTGACAATGCTGATGAGTCTCTCGGCAGCGTTGCCACCATCTTCCCTTACAAGGTGCGCGCGGGCATGGGCCTACGCAAGACGTTTTGCATCAAGGCTCGGGTGATCCGCGTCACGGCCACGATCACGGACGGGCCCCACGCTGGCTACACGCTGAAGCACTGGAACACCCATGACCATTCCCTATCGCGCGAGCAGGTACGGCGCGTCGCTGGCGCGATCCAGGCCGATCTCCGCGACATGGAGATGGACCCGAGGAGGTGCTGTGTAGTGATCGTGGGCGACTTCAACTACGGCGAGAATGCGGAGGTGGAGGACCCGCTGGTTCCTGGTGGCGGGCGCAGGGCTGCCACCCACCCCCGCGGACGTGCATGGACGCACGCGCTGAGTGCTGCGACGGAGATGATCCCTCGCAAACCGACGCATTGGCACCCAGGCAGGCAGATCGCCACCACGATCGACAAGATTTGGATTTGTTCCCCACGGTGGTTGCTCACGCAGACCTATCAGCATGGACAGGTGCATGGAGAGCCCCACGAGATGCACCTCGACGGCCTCTCGGACCACGCGATGTTCTCGGTGGCATGGACCCCCCGCCCTCCCAGGAAGAGACCTACCACGGGCGTTATCAACCCTGTGCCGTCCTTCGTCTCTGAGAACTCGTTGTTCGGCGAGATGATCAGGAAGTACGAGCTCGCGGTCCCCCTTGATGGTCTCTCTCCTCCTGATCGGGTGCACTACCACACGAAGATCCTGCAGACCGCAGCGGCCGCCACCAGAGATGCCATTCTTCGTGGGGGGCCTGGTCTGCGGTCGCCGACGGCGTTGATCTGGAGACAACTTGGTCGAGCAGGACATGCGGATGGCTGGGGCGCTACTGCGCCAACATACATGGACGAGCCAGATGATCGAGCTTCGCGATCGCCCAGGACATGTTGGACGCCAAGTGGTGCTTCTTCACCCGCAGGAGTTCTCTCGACACTACCGATTGGCGCAACGCCACGAGTTGCAAGCACTACTCCGCCAGCGCCAGCAGGGCATGGACGGTGAGCAGCGCGAGTCCAACAAGGCAGCAATGGTCAGGCAGCAGAGGGCCCTGCGACGGCGTGCGGCCATCTGGGCACCGTCGTCGGCGCGGCGATTCCTGGGGGGCATCGAGCTGAACGATGGCACGGTCGCGCGGTCGGAGCAGGATATCCAGAGGGCGCTAGCGAACTACTGGCGAGGCGTCTTCGGCGATGACTTGGTCAAACGGAAGCAGTCCGCGGAGGACATGATGCGCAATCTTGCCTCCAGCATAAGCGGCGCCCCCATGTCCTTCCAGAGCGGCGTCATGGTGCCCCTCCCCCGAGATGCTCCTCGTGCTGCTCAGCGTCGACGGGAGCTGCAGGATGGCTATCTCCGACGCTATGGCATCCAAGGGGTCGACTGGGCCTCGATCGAGCCCCCCTCGGCATGCACCATTGCCCTGGCTCTCCGCAGGGCCCGCAAGTCGGCACCTGGGCCAGACGGCCTCGGCGCCAAGGCCTGGCTCGCCACGCCGATGGGAGTCGAGGCGCTGGCGGAAGCGATGGCGCGGCAGCTTGAGGGCCTATCCATGCGCCAGGAATGGAACTACTCCATCGCCGTCTCCCCCGCCAAGGGGACGCGGGCTGATGATCCTCAAGACGTCCTCAGGCGCGCCGGTGAGATTCGGCCGCTGGCGCTGGAGAACCCATCCAAGAAGGCCGTCATGTGGGCCCTCAGGTCGTGCATGAAGCGGGTGGCGGAGCGGCACTGCGTGGACACGCAGCGCGGCTTCATCTGTGGGCGCAACTTCTGCGACAACATAGTCGAGCTCGACTCGCGCTCCCGCGTGCTGTCCATGGCTGCTGGACATGACGACTCCCCCTTCCCCATCTCCTTCGACTGGGGCCAGGCTTTCCCGAGCATCGCGCAGGACTGGCTCTTCGGCTCGCTGCGCGCCATGGCCGCTCCCCAGGGACTCCAGGACGCGCTGAAGGTCAACTATGACGGGGTCGTCTCCCTTGCGGCCTCACGCACGAGGGCTGCGCTCTATGCGGTGCGTTCGGGCATCCTCCAGGGCGACCCCGCCAGCGGCACGCTGTTCGTCCTTGCCGTCCATCCATTCGGGCAGGACCTGAAGGTCCACGTGGACTCCAAGCTTCGGGGCATCTCGAGGTGGTGCGCCGACGACCTGGGCGCGGCGGTGATGGCCCAACGTGGGCTGATGACGCTGGCCCGCGTCTTCCGTGGCGCGAAGCTCCTGGCGGGCCTGGTGATCAAGCCTGCGAAGTGCTTTGCCATCCCGCTGGGAGACCCGCAGCGCGCTGGCGCGCAGGAGCGGGCGAGGGACTCCCTGGTGGCGGCTGACAAGGACTGGGAGGCGTTCCCCATCGTGGACCACCTCGAATACCTGGGCGTGCTGCTGGGCCCTGGGGTGACGCAGGAGGCGCAGTGGCGTGCGCCGATGAGGAAGTACTCCTAGCGTGTCGGGGAGATCTCGAGGAGCCGCTCGGACGCGCATGCGGCCATCCTCCTCTACAAGGAGCGCTGCGTGCCCGTCCTGTCGTACAAGGCGCAGCTGCTGGAGGCCCCCGCCTCCTTGAAGAGACTAGAGCGGGGGAGGCTGGCGCGCCTGCTGCGCCTGCCAGGCAGCTTCCTGGGCGACGGGGAGTGGCGCGAGCTCGACACCGTCGGCGGCCCGCAGATCCCGTCGGCCACGACATGGTGCGAGGCGGCCCTCGTGAGGGCGGCGGTGGTCACGCTGGGCTCCTGGCGCTCGGCTGCTCGGCAGCTCCGTGGGGCCGCGCTGCAACACTTGCCCATGGTGCGGACGGTCCGAGGCTGCCCGTGGCCCAGCTGGTGGCGATCCGAGGCCATCGCGGCGACGCTGGAAAGAGCTGCGTCGAGCCGCGGGACGAGCCCCCGCGCGACGGCTGCGCGCGCCCTCCGAGCGGCCGCCGCCGACGAGGCCCGCCGCAGGCGCGCCCGCCCCGCCGCAGGGGATGGGTGGCGTGCTCTCTGGCGGCGTGTGCGGCCACAGCGCCTCCTCTACTCCTCCCTCCTCCGTTCGTATCTTCGCGCCTGCCGCCAACGTGCTCCAGAGAAGCGTTTCCGGAGCACGTTGGGCGATTCTCGGCTTCCTCCTCGCCTCCATCTCCGCCTGCAGGAGCGTCTCCAACGCTGGTTTGGGGTCCACGCTGTCGACGCTGAGGCGGTCGACTGGTCGGCCGTCGCCTCGGTGATGCATCGCATCCCGCCGTCCTGGCGCAGTGCTTGCACTAAGACGTGGGGAGGGGGCTGGATCACAGAGTCCAGGATGCGCAACCCGTATAGGCGGTGCGTCTGGGGCTGTCCTGGGGCTCGCGACTCTTTAAAGCATTCTTTCCGTTGGTGCGACCCGATGTCTATGCTCGCCCGTAGGCAATTAAGAGCTGACCTCCCCGCGCCCCCGTTTTTGGACCCCCTCCTGGCTCTAGGACTGATCCACCCCGCCCCCGAGACGTTCAAATTCACCGCTTTTTATTTTCATCTCTATCGGTTGGCACACCAAGAGAGCAAAGCCCACGCGCCCCCCTTCTCTCAGGAGGCCACCCAAAGCGTGGCGCGAGCCGCCCTCCAAGCCGTCGAACTGCCCCTCGGCCAACCGGGTCGTCTGTGGCGTCGTCGGCAGTTGAGTGGTTGAAGACGTTGCCCCCCAGACGCTCAAACCTCCCCGTCCTCCTCCCTTCCACTTGGACAACGGGTGGGCTAAGGCGTTTGCATCCCCATTGCATGCCCTGTCTTTCCGCCCCCTGTCTTACTTCGGTTGCAAGGATTCGGTGCCGGCGCGCTAAGCTGTAGGTCTCATACCATTGTCAGGGATCCGCACTGTGGAGCGCCTCACTCACTCACTCACTCACTCACTCACTCACTCACTCACTCACGCGTTCTCCCTTCTTGGCCTGCCGAGTTTCCTGGGCAGTCCCGTGAAGACAGCACTCGGCCACGGCATTGCAAGGTCCCTCGTTTCCGGCGGCCGCCTCGTTCAGGTGAGCTGTTGTGGGGGAGCGGTTGCGTCGGACAAGATTCGAGCCGATCCGCATCCCCACCGGGCCACGGTGTCTCGGGCCCGCCAGCCGGCCCTCCCAGGTGGGGACTGGCCCCGCGAAGCCCGAAGGAGCAGGCAGCTGCCCCCACCCAGGCGGGCAAGTCGGCCAGTGGGGCCAAGGCCACGCCAGAGGGGACACAGCCAGCACGTGACCGCAAGATCGCTCATCAAGGGCATGAGCCCCATGGCCGAAGGCTCAGGGCCCCAGAGGGAGATGCCCCCAGCTAAGGGCTTCTCAAGGTGGTGGGCCCAGTGGCAAGGAGCGCAGGGCTACCCCTCCAAAGCTGTGTCGCTCTCAACCCTCGCTCCGGCTGTGCTCGGACTGGTTAAAAACGATGCTCAAGGTCGCGAGCTTCGGCGTGGTCGTGGTGTCCGTGGAGCACCAGGATCGGGCCGGGCGAAAGGAGGGGATTGGGAAAGGGGGGGGGTACGAAATCTGCTGCATGCAGCTGGTTTCGGCCTCACCGAGGGGCCCATTCCTCGATACATAGCCGCCTCCGGCGCCGGGAGGCGCCGGGAAAGTCAGCTACGTAAGCTGATTCTCAAACCCCCCCCTTGCTATCCCCCCCTTTCGCCCGGCCCGACAGGACGGCTCCGCGTCCACCGCGGACCCGGAGAACCCACGCCCATTCAGCCTCACGAAGGGCCAGCTCGGGACCCGGGCGAGAGCGCAGGACGCGGGGCCGAAGCGCGCGCTCCGCCGGTGCCCGCCTCCAACGGTTCCACCTCTTGTCCCCATCCTCGCTGCCTGGGTCCTCGCCTGCTCTCCTCATCTCCGCAGGGGGGTGGGCCTCTTCCTGTCCTCGTCTTCTCCTCTGTCCTCTATATATATAGAGAGAGATATATAGAGATATAGATATATAGATTCCTGTACTGTGTCACTTCCGGTACTTGTGTAGCGCCCAGGGATCAAGCGGAGGGAAGTGGGAGGGGGAGGATGGCAAGGGGGAAGGAGTGGGATACGGAGTAGACGAGGACGATGTGGGGATGGAAGATCACCACAAGCAGCATTACGACCTGCAGGAGGAGTAGCAGAATGCTAAGCAAAGTAGAAAGGGCAGGGGGAAGTCGATGATACTGCTGGAAGGAGATAAGACAGAAGTACAACTATGAAGGATCTGACAAGGACGGAGAGGATGAAGTGCACGATGACATTTAGTGTTGAAGATCCTGAGGAGGATGGGGATACAATGAGAAAGCGGCTGGAGGAGGATTAGTAGGTGGAGAAGGATGATGCGGAAGTTGATGACACGGGTCTGTGTATGCATGAGGGGGACCAGGAGGTATGGCAAGGAACATTTGTGTGAAGACAACGAGGATGAAGAGGATGAGGGAGTCGAGGATATGAATGTGGATGAGATAAGGTGGACACGAACGAGACTGGTGACTGACGCGGCCGTCTCCTTCGTCTATGTCTCATGTGTCTTATTCGTCACGTCCGTCCCCCTCCCGCCCATTTCCCCCTCAGCTTCCCCACCTTCTCCTCACAATGTGGAGGAGGACGGGAAGGGGGAGGATAAGGAGAAGGACGAGGACGAGGACGGCGACCATGACACGGCACTGGCGGCGTCTGCATTTCAGTGCGTGTGTAAGTGAGGGGTGGGAGACCTGCCCTGCCGTGTAGCTCTATCCGACCAAGACTTCGGGACCGAGCCGGGCTCGTCGACGAGTTCCCCCCTGGGAGGGGCGAGTGAAGAAGACGCCCAGCGGTGTGTCCGAGATCCCCCCCCCTTCCCTCCCCCTTCACAATTACACAATGCGGATACTATTCTCCTCTCTCCCCTGATGACGTCCGGAAGATATCCGGCCCCCCTCCGCGTAGTGTTTTTTGCACCAGATTCCCGGGAAATGGTTTTCGCTGGGTTTTGTTCAAAAGAGTTTTTCCCGCTGAAGCGTTGGCCTCATTTTCGGGCTTCCGCTCGTTCAGAATCGTGCTCCCGTTGCAGCGTTGGCCACATTTTCGGGCTTCCGCTCGTTCAGAATCGTGCTCCCGCTGCAGCGCTGGCCTCCTTTCCGCGCTTCCGCTCGTCCCGAATCGTGCTCCCGCTGCAGCGCTGGCGTCATTATGTCCAGTGCCTTGCCACGGCATGGTTTATGTTTTTCCCAAACAGGCCCCAAATTCTACAAAAAAATGGCCTCCCGAAAAAGCATCGGAAGTGATTCCACGTTCGGCGTCGATTCGTTAATTTTTTGGGCCGTAGAAGCCCCTCCCCCACTTTGGGGCGTCGCCACGCCATTCTATGTCATGCTCCGCGTTGATCTTCAACACCATGATATGAAATGTAATGCTGTGCCATGCTGCGGCATCCGATTGTGCGAATAAGAAAGAGATCTACACCATGGTAAGGGATGGGAGGGAGGGTTAGGACGTCAGGTGTGACGCGAGCGCACCTAGCTTGCATCCCCCCCTCCTCTCCCGTCCCCTCCTCGTCCTCCCTCCCCCCTACTCTCCTCCCCTCCGAGTTGGTTGGCACTCCCAACAGGGCGGACCTGCCCCGAGGCCCCCATGCAACACGCATTCCAAAACATACAATCATCCCCTCCTCCTTCTCCTCCTCCTCCTCCTCCTCCTCCTCTTCACTCCCCTCCTCCTCCTCCTCCTCCTCCTCCTCCTCCTCCTCCTCCTCCTCCTCCTCCTCCCCCCTCCTCTCTCCTCACTCCTCCTCCTCCTCCTCCTCCTCCTC